TTATTATTATTCGTACTCTTATTATTATCATTTTTATCATTATCGTTATTATTATCATTATTATATTACCATCATCGTCATCATGGTGATGGTAGTGACGACGACAACGACGACAAAGATGGTGATGCATCTTTCTTTAAATCCCGTACAGCGTTCGTGCCTTTGCCTGATTGCCGGGACAGAGACAATCAATGTCCCTTCCTGGTGCGGAGCTTCTACTGTGGACAGGACCCCGTTGTCGGCCGGATCTGTCCGGATTCTTGCGGGCTCTGTGGTAGGCAGAAGCTACGGGCTTTCAATTTTAAAAAACACACACAAAAAAAACTAGTTTCAGTAAGAGTTTTACGAACGTTTTTGTAAGAGTTTTACGGCGCGTGCAACATAAATAGGTAATACGAGGGTCTAAGATTTGTGGTTTTCCGATAAAGTAACATACAAAAAAAGAAAAGATGACCAACTGGTTGGCACTATCTGTCCTGATTCTTGTGGACTCTGTGGTAGGCGGAAGTTTTTCTGCACTTGCAACATAAATGTATAATACGACGGTCGATGATTTGTGGTTTTATGAGAAAGTAACTTGCAAGGAAAGGAAACCCAGTGGTCGGCAGGAGCAGCTGTAGTGTCTGGTGCTACACACCAACCAAGTCCTTACTTAGTTTAGTTTAGCTTTGTTACATTTTAATGAGAGTTTTACAGCGTTTACAACACAAAGAGGCCGTATTAGTGTCGAAGATTCAAGGTTAGTGGGATTCGCTTTCAATGAAAAAATATATCCATTTATCTTGGGAAAAGTTGAGATATAAGCGATTGAAGAAGGTGAGGGTTACCTGGATTAAGAGGTAAAATTTGTAAAAATATGGCGACCAAAGTTTAGTTATTTCCTTAACTTGGGAGTCAGTGGAAACTGACAATTTACATTTTTCTCAGTAAAACCCACATAGAAATATGTTCTTAATGGGCATGAAAAGTGTTGAGCTAAAAAAAATGTTTCGATAAAAATTCCTAAACTTGTAGGAAAATGCCAATTTCTTCACTTTCATTATTTTATCGAGCGCCTGATTTCAAAACGCTGCCTCACAATTAAAGATTGACGAGAAGAAGGAGTTAGAGTGTCACAACATCCGCAACACACATAGGCAATACAAGTGTCAAGGGGTAGAAGATTTGCGGGTTTAAGAGAGAGTAACTTACAAAGAAAAGAAGACCAAGTAGTTGACAGAATCTGCCCTGTTTCCTGTCGGTTCTGTGGTAGGCAGTGGCTGAGTGATTTAAGTTTAGTTTCGTAAAAAGTTGTTTTAGCTTAGTTTAGTTTAGTTTCGTTCAATAGTTTAGTTTAGTTAAGTTTAGTTTAGTTTAGTTTTTTAAAGTTTTAATAGAGGTTTTACGGAGCTCGCAACAGCATAAGGTCATATGAGCGCCAGAGGATTAGAGGTGTTACAAGAGAGTAACAAACATAAAAAAGAAGAAGGGGAGATAAGGACGATAGACGTTTGATAGGAAAGAAGGAGTAAACCACACCAGAGCACCCGCCAACCACCCACAAGTTTAGCTTAGCAGTAAGCGTATTACGGCACTTGCAATACCAAAAAGCAATACGCGTCGCTACCCCACAGCTACAAAGTTTTGTCTGCTCAGTACCTAGAATTGAGAAATCTGACGTAAAGAAATTTGAGTTTCAAAACATGTCAAGCGTTGTCGAATGCAATTCTTTGAATATCCTGACAAAGACTCCGAATAATCTTACAGTTTTGATAGAGCAGAAAGAACATATTAATATTTTGGTTTCTAACCTCATGGTTTCAGTAACTCAAAACGGCCAAAAAAAAAAAACCCTACGTAATTCTAAGTTGGCAAAGTGTCAAAGTGTCGAAGAATCGTTGTGAGTGGTTGGCGGGTGCTCTGGTGTGGTTTGCTCCTTATTTCCTATCAAACATCTATAGTCCTTATCTCTCCTTCTTCTTTTTTATGTTTGTTAATCCCTTGTAACTCCTCTAATCTTCTGACGCTCATATAACCCTATGCAGTTGCGAGCGCCGTAAAACCTCTACTAAAAATAAACTAAAACCAACGAAGATTAGTTGTTTTATGAGAGAGTAACATACAAAGAAAAGAAGACAACGTTGTTGGCAGAATCTGTCCTGCTTTTTGCGAGTTCTGTGGTAGGCAGTACCTATAGTCTCTGGTGTTGGGGTTGGAAATGGAAACAATTTGTTCAATGAATTAATATTATATTATTTTTGATTTTCAGGAAACTCAAGTGGAAATTATTATATTAAAAAAGTAAATTCAGGGAGAAACTATCCTAGCTTGCAGGAAATTTAGGTGGAAATGGTCTAATTTTTTAGGAGATTATAGTGGAAATTATTCTATTTTTCAGGAAATTTTGGTGGAAATTATTCTAATTTTTAAAAGAAATTCAGGTGGAGATTATACTATGTGTCACAACGTGATGGAATCAGGCGCTCGTCAATTTTTAGGCATGTGGTGTTATTGGTAGGCCTATCATCTTAAAGCTTTTTTAGTTGTCTTGTTATCTGTGA